CCTAGCAGCCCATAGCTGACATAGCTTGGCCATGTGGGGAACATGGTGCTCCAGCCCTGGCTCCTTCAGCAGGCACACTGCCCTGCGCTCCTCCTCACAGCGTCTGTTTTGTCTACAGGGTAATATTTTCCATTCGGTGCATCCAAAAAAAAATACAGCCCAGCTGGGCTGGAGAGTCCTCTGAACCCTGACACCCTGGGGCTGCAAATATCCCCCACCCCAGCAAAGACCTGCAGTCAGGGCTCTGCGCTCCCCACCACAATCCCACAGCTGGCGATGGCTTTTTTACCCCTTTTGGGGTAGACCCACGGGGTTTGCCTCCTTCAAGTAGCTGGATGCTGTGAGGAAAGGATTGTGCTTTGCCCATCTCCAGGCACATGGTTGATTCTGGGATGAAGCAATGCCCAAGCCAGCCATGGTGCTACCACGTTTCCTCACTGGCAACCAGAAGAGGCAGCAAAGGATGCAGGTGCCATTTCTCCTAGGTGTTATAGTACAAACAATCTGACTTGGATTGTGTGCTTCCCTTTAAAATGGCTGGTGGAAAGGGTAGACATTATCTGAGGCTGTTCTGTCTCCTCAGAGCTGTATCCCATGGTGTATTTTCTGAAATCGTGGTTTTGTTCATGGGAAGGTTTCCCAACAGGCACTCCCCCACCTCTCCCTCAGGCACAGGGAATGGCTTAAGATGCCAGACAAAACCAGGGGCGGCAGGGATGACCTTGCTGAGGGGAAGGCTGCAGGTGTGCAGCTGCACAACACAGAGAGCAGTTTAATAATCTCACTGTCCCTCACAGCCAGCTCAGGACCAGCCCCACAACAGTGGCAGGGGGGAGAGAAATCCAGGGTGCACAGTGCAGACCCCCATTTCACATCTGCCCTGTCTATCGCCCAGCAGCCCTGGGGCTGCTGCACGAGGACGCCGCAGTTGTGCCAATCCCGTGGCAGGGCATTCGGCCCCATAGGGCTTGTGGCCAGCCAAAGGGAAATGCTATGAAACTCGCGGCCCCACAATGCTCTGAGAAGAATGGAGGAAGAAAAATAAATATGCACCAGGGAAGCAAAAACTACAGTGGGGAGGGATGTTTGTGTAAATACAACTAATTGCCTGGCCTGGGGGTGGCTCTGGTTTTGCTGTTTATATCTTTTCTTTCCAGGTTCCACCTATCCCAGATTGCAGGTGCATCACAGCTTCCTGCAAAAGACCGCAAAGCAGACCAGCAGCAACAGGAAAACTTCCCCAAATGCCTCTCCCATGCCTCTGGAAGAGTTGCACGGCATGACCTTGACGTGGGCTGCAAAGAGAGGAACCTTACTGCACGGCTGGGAAGTTGGCAAGCACAGCAGCAGTATCCACTCCTCCCCAAAGGCTTGTGGAGAAATTCCAACCCTAATTCTGTGCAGGACGTGAGGGATCCTGATAACTAACACACCTTGCATAACTGTGACTGGGAAATCAGCCTGTCACATGAGGGAAAGCATGGTGTAACAGAGATGGAGGCAGAATATAAGGAGCTGGGATCATTTCCTCAGCTAGTTGTAGGAGTGATTCTCAAATTCTTTAAGAAGGCTGGTGGTGTTTAATGCATGCCTTAATGAGCTGGAAAAGAGGTAAGCAGTGAGGTGGCAAATCTGCAGATGGCCCCAAATTGTCGCAGTTGCTCGGGATGAGACTGCAAAGAGCATTTTTATGGAAAGTCCCCTGCCCAGGTACTTCGCCTCTGATTGGCATGAGGAGATTCCATCCACTCGAGGTTTGCTGCTGGTACCCTTCGAATTCTGGCTACGGCACATAGGGCAGCAGAGCTTCAACTGCTGTGTCTTTCATAGAGTGTATGAAAGCAAATTTTGGATTTCCCACCAGTCAGAGGGTGTGCACCCTGGAGTGAAGTGCAAGCAAGTAACAGGCATAGGGGACAGATCTGCAGGCAGATGGACAAGCAGGAATGAAGAGATGGCTGAGGAGAGGAGAGATGAGGAGGGGAGGAGAGGGGAGGGGAGAGGAAATTCAGTCTTTGTCAACAACAGATGCCAAAGCCACCCTCTAGAGTAGCCACAAATTCTGAGGGAAATGGCATCATAAGCCACTTCCTCTTGCACTAGAAAACAATAGCTTTGTTCTGAGCCTCTATTGTATCCATGAACAGGCTTAAATGAGCTGAACTGTACTAGAATTTAATATTCTCACATTTCCTAAAGATCTTGGTCAACCTGCCCTAAATTCAGGACCTGACTCTATAAGATGGTGAATTTACACCAACTGAAATCCAGTTTTCAGTGGGCTTAACTATGACTTCAGCAGTAGAGCCTAACAGACCAGGCTGTTTTATATACCAGCCTATAAAGCTGTGGAAAACACTAAGACTGGGTCTCACTGCACTTTCCACTTGCTTAAAGATGTTACAGTGTGTGTGCTAAGAAGCTGTGCTAAATCAAACCTGAGAAAAGCAGGTTGTAATGCCGTGGTGGGCGTGTTACGTGGTGTTATCTTGTACGGTGGGGGAGCTGTCAAAACTCAGGAAGATGAATTGTGTCTAACTTCAAAAAGCATGTCTTACCTTCACGTTTTCACATATATAATAGTGTCATGGCAGCAGCAGTAAAGTGATAAAGCCAAGTCTCAAGGTATCTCAGCAGGAATGAATAAATCTTCATAATTGACAGGCTGTAATAATAATAAATACTTGAAGAGTTTATTTCTCCCTATATCCAGTTAGAAAATTACTACATGGGAATCCTAGCCGGCAATTGGGACTCTTCTAAATAATTACCGAGTCAATTCACAACCTCTGCCAGCTCCAGCATCTCAATAATTAAAAAGGTACCACTTGTAGTTAATAGTAAAGAGAACAGATGTTTCCCCTCAGAAGCTTTTACCTTCTTCTTTCCCATCATTTCCACTGCCTTAAGCCATACTGTGTCTGAGTATCTCCCAGTTATGCTGGCATGCCTGTTCCAGCAGGTTGCAGAGACAAAGTCCTGCACCCTGGAGCACATGGGGGATGTATCTGCAGAAGCAAAGTTGGGTTTGTTGCACTGAAGGTGATCACTGTCATTAGCAGGAGGGTGAAGCAACAGCATGTTCTCAGTAAGTTGGCTTAATGCCTTCATGCATTTTCCTGCTGGCACCCATCACTCAAATACCAGGCAAGATGAAACACACAGCCACGTGCCCAGGCTGGCCAGGGGAGGAACCTCCAAAGCTTTTTCCACCTTGGTATGGAGGTAGTTCATACACAAAATGGTGATTCGTTGCCTGCTAAGGGTTTGTACAGTGCTCTTAGCCCTGGACTGGTCTGGACTGTGCACAGCCTCTGCATTCTCCAAGTGTTGAATTTGGAGAGTTCTTCCAGGAGCAGAATCATCTGCTTGATGGTGCTGTTTTGCTCTCCTCTGATGTTATAGCACTTCTGTGGTTGGGTTTATTTTGCTTGCTACTACAACCACACAGTACATTATCAGCACTCAGTAAATGCCTCAGTCATCTCGAGGTGAGATATAAGATAAAAATAGGAAAGTTGGGGTTTTTTTATTTGTTTGTTTGAGACTTACAAGAGGCTTAATCTAGCACAGCAGCTCAAAAGGCAGTATGTTTGCTGCTCTTTAAAATTTGTATTTTATTGTGTGAAATGAGATCATTGCTGCTTGCTAGCGTTTGATGTAGTAAAAATGATATCTGGAATGCTGCAGGTCAATAAAGAATGCTGGCAACAAAACTGCAAACATTTGCCACCTTTGAAAGGTTTCTTTCCATCCAAAACATAAAATTGGGTAGATTAAAATTAAGCTTAAAACAACATAGACTTCTGGATTTTCACAGGTTATAAGCAGAGTCGCTGGGTTTGGTCTCTGCAAATCTCAGTCCTCATGCATCTGACAGGCAGCAGCATGGTAGAGCCATGGACACAATTTTATGCTTGGTTGAACAATTTGGTGACTTTGATCTTTCCGTCCCTGCACAGCCCAAAGGATAACATGGGACTATCCACTCTCTTTCTGGGGACAAATGCAAGCAGGTTCAAATTGAAGTTATCCTAAGTTGATCTTGAGCTCGAGTAGTTAAGGCATATAAGGAGATGGTGTGGCTAAGATTGACTTCAACAGCTTTTGAATCCACAGGGCAGACATGCACTTGTAGAGAGGCAGACAGGGGAAGTGAAGGCACAAATGAAGCACAGTAGTTAAAAGCCCATAAAAACAGACCAATAAAATCTGTCATGCACCTCTCTGTACAAATACTGCAGTCCATAGGTGAAAGCAGTGGAGCTGCAAAAATTTCCACCTCCAAAGATCCCTTTGCTTTCAAAGCAGGCAAACTATTGGCAGCTACAGCCAAAATGTCATGTTGCTCTGAGCACACAGTTGCTCAACGTCCCTTTGGGATGGGCAGTGATCAAAGGAACAGCAATGGCAACCAGTGACACACCTTGGGCCACAAGGGATGACCAGATGTGGAGTGGGATCTGGCAGAAATTACAGCAGAAAGGCAGTAACTGGCAACATGCAGGGGATGAAAGGGAGGGCACAAGGAGTCAGAAAGGGGGCACAGCAACCTCTCCCCCCACAGTGACTGGCCACCAGCTCCACAAACAGCTGGCAGTGCCCACATTAGGTGTCTGGCTACATGGCATGACGGGTACCAGGGATGCAGAGCAACCGCACTGCCTGGACCCAGCCTATGGCAGAGGAGCCATGAGTGGCCCCAGGACCCCCACCCCAAGACCTGACAACTTATCTGAGGTTCCCTCCACAAACCCTGGCCTGATCAGGTCCTATTTAGCCTACAGGTAAAGCTGTACAGACACATCCTTCCTAAGGCAATCAGGGCTGGGTGAGGCAGGAATATATGCATTTCCCTTTCATTGTCCAAATACCCTTTGCCCTGGAGAGGTTGCACAGTTTCTGCCTGCTGGGAGAGCTGGACAGTATCCATCAGCCTGCCTGTGGGGAGTATTTCCAAAAGCAGCTGAGTGACATAGGTGCACATATCATCTTGCAAGTCAACAGGACTTGTGCTCCATTGAAAACTTCCAGTCTACATGAGCAAAGACCCTTAAATATTTTTAAAGCCACTCAAGAGGCACATAAATATTTGGTTGGGGTCAGCCCTATTTTAGATAAACAAAACTACCTACAGGGGCCCTCAAAGACGCTGTCATCATGCCAACGATCATTGTGGGGCTGATGTCTCCTCTGAAGGTTGCTTGTTTGATCTGCTCGCTGTTCTCATCCCTGTTCCCTCCTACTCTTCAGCACCTGCAGAGAAAAGTGGTGACATGATTTATAGATGTATTCCAAGGTATTTGAATATTTCCAACCAGCTACCTTGTTCCTGTTACCTGTTCCGACGACTGCTGTGCCAAGGGCTCCCGGAACAAAGGCTCAGGACAAATGAATCCTTGTCGTCACTCGCAAGAAAGGTTTAAAAAGAATCACCTCCTTCTTCTATTATTTCCTTGTCTTGTTATTTTAATTTTTTTCCCTGTGCAGACAGCAACATTAAGCCCACTAGAGAATGAATGAATATCAATGAGACAGGGCAAAGATGGAATATGCAGCAGTTCTTTTTCAAAGTTATAATGAAAATGCCTACAGGGAGATGGCATTGCAGCAGATAACACATGCACACCCCACATGTACATCCGCCATTTTTGGGAAACAACCACATTTACTGGAAAATGCCTCCTATGTGGGCAAGTTTCTAAATGTCCATTCAAGCTAATGGTGCACTCACTCTTCCAGCAATTTCATGTAGGAATTGCCTCCTTTCTGTTACATAGGTGCAGCTAGAGCCCAGGGGTGCAACAGGCTGGGAACACTAGAAAGTTAGACACAGGCTTTGCTGTAAACTCCCAAGTCAAGGACTGTTCCTAATCATAAATTACATTGCTCAGGAATTAAAAGAATTGATTCCTTGCTGGCAGGGAAAAGAAAACCTTTGTTTCTAACAGAGAACAGAGAGGGAGAGACAATGTCTATCCCATCATAAACATCGCACCAGCTAAATCCTCCCTTCAAAACTATCTGAGCCCAGTCATTTGCCCAGGGTGACATTCAGCAGCACCCCCTCCTGCTGCAGCTGCAGGGATGCCCTCACAGCTCTCTGGTCCTATTAAAAAACAGGAGGGAATGGAGCCTTTTATTGAGAAAGGGACTCAAGTACAAAGATGGTTTACAAGGCCACTGTCTGCTGGTGGCTTCCCAGATAATTTCTCAGTATTCCCCAGATCCCTCCTTTTCATAGTCCCCCCAAACAGGGGAACAACAGCAGGGAGTTACAGGACATGTTTCCCTTACAAGGCCATCCAGGTAGTATCTCATTCTGGAGACTTTCATGGCCTTGGATAAAGGAGAAGCAGAACAGCCCTGACAAGAGGCAGTCCGGGAAGCAGAATTTTCCATGAAGCTGTGAGTGAAGAACCCCAACCCTACACTCTCTCCACCAAAATATTCTCAAAAAATAGCCAGCTTTAAAAGAAAAGTTTAGTTAGAAGCTAGTTGATAACATAGGTTTTTAAAAAATGTGACTGATAGGCAAAGAAATGGCTCACAGCAGAGCAAACATTTTGCAAGCATTATGAGCATTTCTTGCAAGGGGAAAAACTTTCCCATGGAAATTTCTGATCATGAAAACAGGTCTTTGTGGTGGGGAAGCATAAACAGAGCTGGCTTCTGGTTCTGGTTCTTCGCAATCTGCTCTCTGCTTGCCAGGCAGAGTAGCTGCCAGGAGGGCTCTGCAAGTGCTCATCAGCCCAAAGCTCTGCACAGCTACCTCCTGAACGCCACTGTGGGACACAAGGGTCAGTAGTGGTGCTACAGCACATCCCATGCTAGCAATGCTATTTATGCAGCAACCCGAGACGTGGGTATCGTACCTGTGAAGGTTTTGTGGATGCGATGGGAAGAGAGGGCTGGGCGGTCATGGGTGGCTGGTAAGCAAATGGCGATGAGCTGGACTACCAGTTAGGGGGAAAACCACTAGGAGCCATGAAGCACCACACAAATGCTTACTAGTGGCCAGTGCAAGGGGGCAGGATGCTGTTAAAAGAGGGGTAAAAGAGCTCCTGGGGAAAGAAGAAGGCCAGCAAGAAAGCCTGGAGAAGGATGACAGCACGCACAGATGCTCCTGCAAGCCGGTCATGCCACTTCTCTCATCCAAATGCTTGCTGCTGCCACATCTGCTCCGAGTGTGAGACCATCTGTGAGTGTAACTGCAGCTTGCTCTTCTGGCTCCAAGCAGAGGTAGAGGAGGCTGCAGGAGTGGATCAGTGAGCTGGGGCAGCACAGGAGTTGGGCAGGAGATGCTTGGTCTCTTGCAAACAAGTCCTCACATTAACTCCACAAGGCTGATAGTCAGCAAGAGGTTGCCAAGTATTTGCAGAAAGCACAACTAAGCAATTTTGGCTGACTCGTGCTTTGTATTGTAAATATTTCCGCTTCTCTGACCATGGTGGCAGCCTTGCTTTGTGGTCATCTATATCTAGAATATTTTGAGCATCAGTAGTTGCAAATAGCAAAAAAATCGTTCCTTCTGTCATGATCAAAAACCATCTTCCCTTCTTCTTCATGAACTGCGCAATCACCAGAAAGACAAGAATTGTTTTGTAGGTTGTTTTTATTTTACGTGATATAAAACTCAATGCTGCCCTCTGTCAGAAATGCAGCAGTACTGGTCTTCAATTCCTTGTCCTTAATTAACAAGTACTACGTGTTCTTTCCGTGGCACAGCTTTTAACCATAAATCCCCCTCATCCCATCCAAGCCTGCTCAGGAAGACAAGGAGTGATCCGATTGCTGTCCGCCGCTCTATTTCATGTGCTAAACATCTGACAGTGATAAATAATGCACCACAACTGCTCGGCTATTTACAGTGATGCCTAAGCTAAAGATGACTTTATGAAAAGAAGATATATTGCTGCCCAGGTAAAAAAAAAAAAAAAAAAAGAAATAGTGCAGTTACTGCTTGTGTTTAGTGCCGTTTAAGTGGAAGAATATATGGGTGCTCTGTAAAATAGTGATTAATCCAGGATGTAAGATAACTTCCCAGTTTATGAAGGTCAAGTTGAGAGCAAGCTCCCCAGGTATACTGGGAGCAAAACTCCCCTCCAGTCTGGCACAGCTCCTCCCCAGCTGTTGTAGCTCAGTCCCATGCTGTCTGGCTCTAAAATGTGTGTATGGTCCGAGATGCCTGCCTCGGGCTCAGGGCTTGTGCTGTCTGGACCTCTGTCCAGGGGTAGCTTTAACTCACCAGGAGAAGTGATTGCTTCTAAAGGGATAAATTACAGGTCTTAGCAAAGCACCTATCAAAGAAATGGCTAAATCCAGAGTTGTCTGGTCCCAGCACAATGTGCTGTAGCAGAGCAATCAAAAAAGAGTGTGGTGACAAGGGACAGTGTCTGTCTAAGTCACCTCTCAGCAGGGGCTGACAAGATTTACACACTGAAGACTTACAGATTGATGCTGCCTGTAGCTCTCAGAAAGTGGGATGAGTGTGCTGGGCACCCCACAGCTTCCCCCCGAGCACATCCAAGACATCTTTTCCCACAGGAGCATGAGTCTATCTCTCCACAGCCGTGGAGGGGATCAAATGGTCAAGAGGGCGATGACAGCCTCCCTTCTCCTTGCACCCCAACACATGTTGCCTTTGCACTCTCACTGGGGTCACCATCATGTTATTCTTTCACCTCCCTGAGGTGAGATGCTATGGGGAGCCCACCTTGTGGGCAACCTGTGGGCAGCCAAAGCAGGGCTGCCCTCGAAGGCCACTTTGGACAGCATGGCCACACTCTCCAACATGATTTGGCAAGGCCAGCAGCTAAGGGAAGGGAATCTGCACTTGTAAAACACCATGTCTGGTCTGTAGCCACAAGTACAAAGCACCAGGTTGTGTTGTTTTTCAGGTAAGTGTTGCTCTTGAAAAGGTGCAGAGGTCTGGGACAAAATTTCCAGACTGAAGACACTGCAGATATCACTTGGTTTCACAATGAGTCACTGAAACTCGAGAAAGGCAATTCACCCGGGAAATCAAAAGGAGTAATTAAGAGAACATAGTAATTAAAAATGTATCCTAAGAGATCCTGTACGTGACATCCGCACCAGACGGAGAAGCATGCCTTTACCCACCCCAGGTTACACCAAGTCTGCGAAAAGCTGCAGCCACAAAGTCGCCATGGTTACGGATGCACAAAACTGAGAGTGATGAGGCGTCCTGCTCTGCCACGGCCACAGTGCACATCTTCAAGCTGCAACCATTTAATCGACTCTGGATTGTGCAACTTAAAAAGAAAGAATCCCAGAAAGTCCTAATATATTCAGGAATATGAAAGCAGACAGATTAGAGATTTTAATATATGCACACCGTTCAGGGTGTGGGGAGGAATAGATAATATGTTATTGGACTGTAAATCCAGGCACTCATTATGCAGTCCTCATTCTGTGTCCAAAACTTCTGCTTAGATTTGTTTATACCACCTTCTGTCCTAGAGATGCTTGCATTTAACTGACTGATGTATTATATGTGTATTTGCATGCATGCATACTAAGATATAGTTGTAATACATCATAAGCCCTGTGTTCTAATTATCACATGCTAATGTAGCAAACTAACCATACATTAGTTTCCATCAAAAGCAGATTTCCTTTGCATATGAGATGCCAGATACAACTTCACATGGCCTGATCAGAGTGGAATGATGGGTGCATAATAACCACTTGAATACACTTTCCATGATATTTCGCTGACATAAATCCTTGTGATAAAAGCATAAGAAGGCACCGAGGGTTTTAACTTCACAGTTAAAACTGGATGTCACTGTCTGAATGCATTCCCAAGGGCACACTGATGTAAAGTGTTTTTAGGGTAGTGATAATAGTAAAATCCAACCTCACTTCTCAGATTTCTTAAGGTGTCTTGTTATTTTTGCAAACACTGTCTTCATCTGATGCTGACATGCTGACAGCAAACTTAACAGGCAGTATCCTGACTCTACAGGCAGGAAGAAGCTGTTTGGAAACACTGGCTGTGTTTACAGTAGGAAGTAACTCACCTAAGGGTAGGACCAGAGCCAGGTCTCATCTTTTGCTCTTAGTCTCCCAGTCCACAGGACTGTATCAACCCACTTTCCTTGTCCTGGTCACCAGAGAACAAGCAGCTTTCCTGTGGAGGTGAGGGAGCTGTTCCTCCCTCCATGAGCATGGATACATACTCATCCTTGTGCTTTTTGCACAGATGTGGCTCCTAGGATGATTGAAAGCTTTCTCAAGGTGTGTGAATGGAAGTATGGCAACTTACACTAAGCCACAGAGTAGACTGCATTTCACAGGCAGTTTACAGGAGCTCTTCTGAGCTGAGGCTGGCCCTCGGTGGATGTAACAGGATGGCTGGCCTTGCTTCTGGGAAGAGAAGGAACCAAACAGCAGCCTTTTTTTACTCAAATATCTGAGCTTTATTTTAATTTTAAAAAGGCAAGTTTGTAATTCCTAAGCTACAGATACTCTGTATAAAACATAAAACATTTTTCCTTGGAAGCACTCGAAATACCTGTCCTATAGGTAATAATGGAATGTAAGACAGAGCAAGCCAAGTCCCAGACACCGAATTTCAGTAAAGCTGTTACAAGTAGTGGTGTGTAGGCAATGAAATTACTGTCAGCATTTGGCTGTAAAGGACTGTAACTGCCAGGTTGGTAATAACAGGACTCAGGCATTAGACCAACTCCAATTAGAAAGGGAGTCATTTGCCTACCCATATATGATTACACCGTAGTCATGTCAACTGCTGTCTTGGCTTGATTTCCCTGCAAGCAAGGTGACCATGGTCTGTAATATCTACCATGATATGTGTCTGCGAGCATTCCAGTGTGAGCTGTGCTCATGATGCCCTGCAGCAGTCCCTGCCCACAGTTCCCTTGGCCTGGATGGGACAATCCGTGGGCTTCTGTGGCTGTTGAAATGATGAAAGTTTAACTTTCAGCTACTGAAGTTCCTTCCCCCTAAAATAAAAGCTCTTCAAAATCTAATTTTTTTTCTCAAAATCTGATTTCTCAAAATCCAATTTTTTTTGAGCAGTTGCTTTCCTCCATGTACACATGGAGCATCAAGCTGTCTGCCTGTGCTCCTCTCATGAGTTCTTGTTGCTTCTATCAGACTTGCAGCCTTTGCCGGCTCTTCGAAACATCTCTTTCTCCTGGAAATGTTCAAACATCAGTAGGGGGCATTATTGCCTGAGGTTCCCTGGTCTCAGAGCACTGCCTCAGATTCCTCATTCCCTTCCTTATTCTGTAGGAAGACTGTGTCCATGAGCAGATTGTGTGGTGACTAGAGAACTAAGACCCCTTTGGTGGGTAATCCTACCAGGAGTTACTGATCCTAGAACCAAAGCCACAGCTGAAAGGCTGGGACTATAACTATCATAGTCAGTCGTTAAACCTATTATCTATTTGAAAAAATGTTCTGCAGCATAAATTTGTCTATAACAGTCCCATCAGCAGAATCAGATGTTTATAGCTCAGGTGAGTTTTGCATGCACCTTTTTTGCTAAGCTGAATATCACTATGTCTTGTAAGAAGAAACAGAAGAATGGGTATATAGTCTATTGTAAGTTAGATTCAAAGATAGGAACGTGTCTCAAGGTTTCCATATAGAAGAGTGGTATTTTGCAATTTTAGTTTTATAACACATAGATTATTACAAGAACCCAGAGCCCTTTCACTCCCAAACTTTCACAATGTGTCAGCACTCAGTGTCTCTTCTCCAGTCAGATTTTCGTTTGTTAATCTTTGACTTCAGAAGTGGTAAAGTCATCTTCAAACGTGACCTACTGCAGTGCTCTGTGACATGAGCTTCTGCTTGTGTTCTCGATTCATTTCACCCACATGCAGAGGAAGTAGCAGAGGGATCTGTGTGCCGCTAACACCCTGAAAATAGGACTTACAGAGTCTCTGCATACTTTGGCCTTGAGACTACCAACAGGGATGAATTTCTGCTCAAAATTGGACTTCGTCTTCAAGCTACAATGTGATTTTCATGCCTGGGCTTTACTTACTAAAGATTTCTGTTACAGCCTTGGGACAAAAAGGCTAATCCAATAGCTTTCATCTTTCTATAGCATCTCTGTCCCATCTCGCTCCTCAGCCACATTCTGGAGTCTGCTCTGAGTAGAAGGATATGCTGCAAGGAAGGTTGAAC